GGAGCAGCCTGAGGCCCGGCGCCGGCCGGAGGGAGGGAGTCAGCGGCGTCCCGCTGGCAATCCAGCCTCGTCCAAGCGCAGGCTGTTGTCTGTAGCTGTAAGCCTGGCTGGGCGGGAGAGGGGCGCGAGGCGTCGAGCAGAGATGCTAGTAGCACCGTATCGCGCTACTTGCTCGGGGCATCCGGGCTGCCTGTCCTCGGGGCTGGGAGCAGGTTCCCTCTTCCCACCACGCGGTGTGGCGAGCCAGAGACCGCCAGCCTGGGCTCAGAACCGCGCAGGCTGTGACCGTCGCCCTGTGGTGTTCATGGGCTCGCCAGCCCGGCCCGGCAGAGCCCGGCGGGGCCCCGTCCAGGCGGTGAGATGTCGGACTGGGCGCAGCAGGGGCAGAAATCCAGCGCCCACGGCCCCTTGCCCGGGATTGAACGGCAGCGGCTCTCTTGGCAGAGTGCTGCTGGCCTACGGGCTTCCCCCCCCCCCGTGGGGGCAAGGCGCCAACCCCCCATACAGCATCCAGCCAGGAACAGCGAGGCAGGAAGGGAGTGGAACCATGAGCTCAGCTGCTCCTGGGCCCAGCTCGCTTGGGCTCCGAGTGAGGAGCACAGAGAAAAAAGGTTAATTTTGAGCAGGAAGGGGAAGCAAAGCCTGATGGGGTAGGGGCAGGGGGAAGGGTTGTCAGGCAGGAGGGATCCTGCCCCCTCCAGGGGCAGCAGGGAGCGGTCAGGGTGGAAGGGAGCCGGCTGTTGGCAGCCGGTACATTTGCTAGGCCCCAGAACCCCCACGAGCTGTGCTGACAGGTCCTGCTCTGGAAAAAAGCCGCTAGGACGTGGAGCTGCTGGGCTTAAGCCGGACGGTCCTGCCTGCTCCCAGCCCTGTGCGTGAGCGGCTGGTCTGATGTGCCCGGGCGGACGGGGCCGCAGCCCTGCCCCCCGGGGCTTCCCAGCGAGCCAGACGGATTGTCCGCAGACTCCCTGGGGTGGCATAGAGCTGGCAGGGCGTGGCTCTCGGGGCTGAGAGCTGGTCTGGTCCTGACCTGCACGGCAGTGGCTGGGGGCGGTTCCCACCAGAGTGGCTTTCACGGCGGCTGGTCTGCTCTCCCTGACCAGAAGCCGGAGAGGAGGCTGGAGGGCGCAGCCTGGGCGGGTCGGCCCCCTCGGAGCAGGGGCCCGCCTAGGCCAGCGCTCCGCCTCCACCCAGCCTGGGACAGATGCTTCGGAGGAAGAGCCACGAAATCTACTTGAGCCATTGCAGAACAGCCTGCCTGGGGGAAGGTCTTGTCCCAGCCCCTCTGTGAATGGGCGATTGCCCTGACCAGTGGGGAGCACAGCCCGCAGTCGTGTGGCTGTGTCCCCGGGTGCCTTGCCTGGGCGCTGTCGGCCGAGCCAGGCCCCGTCAGGACGGGGAGTTCGGAGCAGGGGGCTCCTACGCTAGCGCCATGAACAGCCTGGAGCTCCCTGCAGCTCCCGTCGCAGAGATCCCAGCTCCTGCGGGCTCCGCGGCCGCCCTCGGGCCAGAGGCCGGGCTGGGAATCCAGGCTATTTATAGCCCCGGCTCCGAAATGCCTCCTGAGTTGCCGTGACACTGCTGCAGGGCGGCTCTCTTCAGCCCACAGCCCTGATTGGGGGAGGCGGCGTGTTCTCCCGCTGGCTTAGTTACCTTGGAAACCCGGTTTCTCCGGCGCTCGGCTCTGCGCAGAGCCCGTCTGTACCTGCGAGCCTGAGGCGCCCCCTCCCCCGAATTCCCGTGGAGCAAGGCCTGGGCCTCTGCGCACTCGGAGGCTGAGTCGCAGTGGGGATGGCGCTTCGCGGCTGAATTCGAGGCACCTTCGTGCGGCTGCCGCGCAAAATGTGCCCTGTGGGACGTGCCGCAGCTCCCCTCCCTCTGGGCTGGGTCGGCGCTTGGCTGAGCATGGGGCCGCCCCGTTCGCCCCACTCCATGCCGGAGCCCCTGCTGCGGGTTGCGTGTGCCTACACCCCCTGCCCCGTGCTGTGTCCCTGGCTCTGAGCCGTGACTCCCTCGTCCGAAAGCCGCTTCTCCGTTCCCCGCAGCACTCTCCCAGAGGGGCCTGGGGGCAGGCCCTCGAATCGGCGTGTGGCCAGGTGTGAGCGGGCCTGGGGAAACGCTGCCCACGGGTTTGGTCCCTGCAAGCCTGAGGCAAATACTGAACGTGCTCAGGGCCTCTCCATCACGCGGGCGACTTCCCCCGCTTTCCAAGTGCGCGGGGCTCGCTCCTTGGCGCTGTTACGCGCACTCTCCCAGAGGGGCCTGGGGGCAGGCCCTCGAATCGGCGTGTGGCCAGGTGTGAGCGGGCCTGGGGAAACGCTGCCCACGGGTTTGGTCCCTGCAAGCCTGAGGCAAATACTGAACGTGCTCAGGGCCTCTCCATCACGCGGGCGACTTCCCCCGCTTTCCAAGTGCGCGGGGCTCGCTCCTTGGCGCTGTTACGCGGGGCTCGGTGACGGCTCCCTGCACCTCGCTGGAGCTGCCTGAGGGGGGTCCCGCCTGCCGCCTCGCTCAAGCCCCCACTTCTGGGCCTGCTGCCCTAGTTCAGCTGCCGTGGCCTGGCTCGGG